GGTAATGGGATTTCAATTCCGATGACTGACAGCTTCTTACGGGCAAACCCCACACCAGAAATAGTGCCGACACTATTCATGATCAGTATCTATCTGTCTTTTACTTCCAATTGCAAGGTGTAAATTTTTTTTAATCACTTTGTTCTATGAGCAGATTTTGTTTGTCAAATTGATAAATACAAAGGGTTCACCTATAGTTGTTTAGAAATCCATTGTGCTTGCAGTAGGGAATAATCAACCATCTATACCAAGATCGAAGCAAATTGCTCAAATTATTAGAAATCCCTTCACAGGAAAACTTGGGTTTAATCACACTGTATTCGACAGAGTTAAGCAGATTCATCTTTTCTCTTTGGAAATTGATTAGTAACAAATCCATGCATTCCATATCGTAAAACAAAGAATTTTACTGCATGTAGTCTTCTCAATCCCACTATGGGAAATATTTCCTAGCATTGTGGGGAAAATCTTCATGATTGGTGGTACAATGGAGAAAAAACAACTCAAGAATGAGACTAGGAAGAAATCCCACTTTTAGTTGACTAAAAACAGATCTGAAATGTTGGAAGTGTGCTTAAAATAAAAATATACTAGAAAGAACAACGAGAGTTCGGTCATAATAATGATACTAACTTTAATATGATGACAAATGATCCAGATTTTAAAGTAATTTTTCTTTATTACATTAAATAGCCCGTTTGTGATGCAGAAAAATATATACAGTATTTTATATGCAATAATGACTCTTGCAAGCTTATGTCTATATCCTGAAGTAGCCAAGTGCAAAGATAATCTACTACCTCTCAAAGAAGAGGTCAGGATTTTGAATGTTCTACAACAATTACATAGATCCCCATTTCTTTCTTAACTTTTGTAGATTGAATGTTCATGATGCATGTACAAAATTTTTTCTTGCTTTTTAACATTTGATAACAAATATTGTTTGTTAACTTCTCTTGTGTTTCAAGTAAGATAGCTCTATCAGTATTCATTTTATATTTGCTTCTTGAATTTATCATTGTAACTTTGTTAAATGGACAGGTTTGAAAATTCAATATCGATAGGTTTTTACATACATAAAAGGCAAAATGATCGTTTCGTTGTAAGCAAACTGGTTACAAGCATGACAAAAGGATCAGTTCGCTCACCTTTAGCACGGTGCCTTCTGATTCGATACGCAAGCCAGACATTTCTTTTAATTTTAATGCCGAGTTTGTCTAATAAATAAGACACTAAAGGCCAGCTTGTCAGGTGATTTGAGACTCAAGCCTAACCAGTCAAACATGAGAATGACCTTTGTCTGACAATCATGAAGCTTGTTTAAGGCATAAAGGTGATGTGGTGATAGTTGAAGCAATAAGAGCAACTGTAGAGTTCAGAGGTGTGACAAGCAAGGAGCTCACTCATGCAATTATTGTATTACACTTTGTACATCAAAAATGTGTGGGCATGAAACTCAAGGAAATCCAACAGCCAACAGGGGATATTATTTGGTGAGTTGGGGCCCACTACAAACTGTTTTAAGAGTTCGCAAACATCCGCCTGACTCTTGATACTCGGTAGAAATTTATTCCCGTGCCTGATCAAAGTTGGATCTCGCACGGACAATCCAACAGGGTTCCTCATCCAAGCTGAACAAACGACAGAAGCAGTTTGAATCTTAGACTGTCAAGTCAGCACTTTCCAATCAATCCTTCGACCTTGGCCCCCTGAATCACAAATCGATCGATGCCTTTTTAGTCTCCTAGACTATAATTATGTAACACCTAAGATACCTCCAACCATACCTACTTTACTAGGGGTATAAATGTAATCTTACGGTCCCTTCTTTTATAAAGAGGGGCTCATTTCATTAATAAAAGTTACACGATTTTGCTGTTCTCTCTCTCCCAGCCCCTCTCTCTCTCGAGCTTATTTCTTGGGTGTGTCTCCCATACCAATTCGGATTCAACACAATTATTTTGGAGTTCATCCATACTCAATTCTTTCAAAGTTGTTACCTCTACCTACCACATAATTGTTAAGTTCTCGGGCAAAAGAGAGGTGATCACTGTTTGTGGTAATCTTCAGCAGTCTCCCACCTATTTTCTCCGAGTGATCTGAAGCATCTAATATGAGCCCCTTCAAGTCGAAAACCTATAAATAGGGAATCTTAAGACCAGGAAGAGCACCTATCGGATCCTTGCGAACGAAAACGATACCAATATTCTTTTTTCTATTAAATGAAGCTTTTGATGCATGTCATAAAAATTCATTATTCGACATCCTCTGGGGCCACCATAATGTTTTTGCTTGGTTTACCATCGAGAAGTTCGGGGTACCAAACGATATCACCTGCCACTTTCTACACGTCAACCCAACATCCCAACTAATAAAACAGAAGATGAGAACTATAGTCGTTATAATGCTCGAGCCAATCTGGGAGGAGGTTAATAAGCTGTTAAAAGTTGGCTACATCGAAGACGTCTAGTACCCGACATGGGTATCAAATGATATCATGGTACATAAGTCAAATGACAAGTGGATGATTTGTGCTTGAACAACCTTAACACCACTTGCCCAAAGGATAGCTACCTCTTGCCACAGATTATGATGCGCTCGTGGACACAGTGGTCGTCCATTACATGAAGAGTTCCTTTGATATCTTATTTGACTACCATCAAATCAAGATGCATCCAGACTGTTGAAAAGACTACATTCATCTCAAGCAATGGAGTGTATTGCTATAGTGTAATGTCATTTGAACCAAAAATTATTTGCACTACTTACCGACGTATGATGAATGAAATTTGTTTCTAAAAAAAAGAAAAAAAATGTTAAAATATATGTGAATGATGTTTTAATAAGAAGTAAAGGGCCAAAGCAATATATGAAAGATTTAAAAGAGACCTTCAAAACATTAAAAAAATTAAATATGAAGCTAAATCCCCTCAAATGTACATTTAGGGCATCCACAGTCAAATTCTCAGGCTACCTCCTAAGCCTGGAAGAAATGCTAACCCAAAATAAGTTCAGGCACTAATCAACATACTGTCTCCTTGAAACACGAAGGAGGTTCAAAAGCTGACCTGAGCCAGTTCATCTCAAAATTGAGCAACAAGTGAACTATTTTCTCCAAAACATCAAGGCATGCGAAGAATTTCATATGAAAAGATGAGTGTGACCAATCATTCAAAAAAGTAAAAGAACTATCTAGCATCATCACCACTCCTTCAAAGGCCAAGGTTGAATAAAAAACTATCCATGTACTTAGGAGTTGGATCTGAAGACATCAACTAGATTTAGCTCGAGAGAAGGGAGTCAGTTCCGAGTTTGCTATGTTTGTCGAGTTCTCTGAGGAGTTGCGCTTAGTTATTTAATTATGGAAAAATTAACATTCACTCTCATTACTTCAGCCCCCGGCTCTGCCCGTACTTCCAAACACATCTTGTCAGAATCATTATATTTATCTCCATCTATTTTTAAGGAATTACATGTATTTCTTCAAATATACTTGATTGATCCCTCCTTGTCTTCTTCTGGCCTTAGTACCATAATTATTATTATCACGGTCATTTTGCTATTTTAGCAGATGTTTTCATAATACTTGTCGGGTCACATTCTTGCATCCTCACTAAACTTTTAAGATAATCTGACATTGATCAATTTGCCTCTATAGTAGGTCCTAAAATAAATCAATCTCTTGGGCCATGAACGAATATAATCCCTTGATGAGCAGATGGGCGATCTCAATAAAGTTTTATCCTCATGCGCTGATACCACAGATGAATCATCAAGATTCAAGCATGACTTGGTAATGAAATTAGCTGAATTGTTACAGTCCAATTTGCCGATCCAATTGTCTTGTCTTTCAACCCAAACTTAATTGAACGACATTCGACCATACAATTATATAATCAATTATATTTTACGAAGACGGTAAGCATCTGAACCAACATCTAAAAATTTTCACTTTATTTCTATCTATAGATTCCACATTCGAGCATATATATTCAATAGTATTATTTTTTGATTAAAATATTATTCATAATTAATTAAATAAATAATCACAAAAAGATTTAATTTTATATAAATATCTCATAGTGATCTTAGGATAATTATTTCTTCTGTTCATATACTAAATAAAAATGATAAATATTTTGAATACATTTTAATTGAAGAAAAGTAATTTTTATGAATTTAGATATATTTAAACTCAAAAGTGATGAAAATTTTGAGTGATAATAAGATTAGAAGTAAAGTTTAAGTGTTAGACTTGTAATAAAATTGAAATGGGTGGTATATATGAAAATGCCCCAAAAAAACAAATCATATAAAGTAAATTTTCATTATTATTAAAAAAACTAATAAGTGAATACGCAATTTGTGTTTTTGTTTTAAATTGATCTTAATATAAAAAAATTCAAAAGATCATTTTATATAATTGAGAATTATAATTAATTGCCCAAATCGATTGAATAAATATGGATTAATTAACAGGGAAAAATCAAAATAAATTTTTTTTAAAAAAAATATGGCTATTATTATAACAAAATTGATTCAAGATATGAAACCAACAATTACATGCAGAGGAAAAAAATCACCAAGTCCCTGGCGGTCTCCTAACGCTTAAACCTATTCTTTGTTGTTGAGAAACATTTGGCGCTGCTCGGCTGGATCAATGTCCCGGAGGTGGTTTGCCGGTCTATAATAGCCCGTGACAGGATCTGGGATCCAATTCATCTGGGCCGACGCCGCATCTGCTGTCGCCGATCCCGATTTAGTCATTTCCGTGATTAGCACCGTCTTCTCCTTCAGCATCTCTTTTCCAGAAAATGCCACCACCGACGAAGAGAATTTCCGGCTGCTCAAAACAATGCCATCGAAGAGGGCGGAGAAGAGGATCTTTCCATTGGAGAGAGCGCGAGCCATCAGATCGATTGAGATGACCAAGAATTAGCTCGAATCAGCCCCAGAAATTAGGGAGGATGAGAAGAACAGGAGATGGAAAGTTTCATCTCCTCTTCTTCTATTATATTCATTTTATAGCAGCAAATTCCTAATATTCTTCTCATCATTTTCATGGCTGTGGGGAAAAATGGAAAAATTCCTTAAAATAACTTCCAGTGGATTAGCGACACGTGGCATCCTAAAACTGACGAAAATTTTCTTTTATTTATATTTGGTAACTTCCGTTATTTAAATCATTGAATAAAATTACAAATTGATATGTTACGGGGTCAGATATAAATTTAGTTTTAATATTTTGTAATTGTTTATTTGGACGCGGAGAAGTGAGAACCTACATTGCTGGTGCCAACCTTCATGGGGCAACTATACACCAATCAACAATGCAATCAACACACAACTCAAAGCAATCGATCGGCCCAGACAACGACCAGTTCATCGAGAATAAACCAATACAACTATGACGAAAGATTCGAACCACAGACCATGCACAATCAACACAGAACTCAAAGCAATCGATCGGCCCAAACAACGACCGGTTCATCGAGAATAAACCAACACAACTATGACGAAAGATTCGAACCACAGACCATGCCTGCGGCACCTACTAAAGAGAACGCCGGTGGGAATCTTCAATCCACTTTTATCGCAACGGATGAGATCGCCACTTGACCGAAAGCCTCAGTCGACCGACACAGGGCACGGTCGTCACTCAGTCGATCGCCTCATTCAGTCGAATTCAAACAAATCAACCATAAAATTACTGTCATATTAAAATTTAGATTGAAACACAAATATAGTCTAAAATCTATACGATTGATTCGAACAACAACTGAATTAAGAGCACTTTTCATAACTGCTATCTTTTTTTTGTAATTGTACAAAACCTGTTTCTATAAATATGTAATAAAAATATGAATAAAGGAAGCTCCCCCGTTTTTCTCTCGATAGTGAATTTTGGGCTTATCCTTCTCTCACTTCCTCCATCTGTTTCTACCTCTAAGGGCTTGTTCGTAAAGGACAATTCAAAATTCAATATTATAAAAGATAGTGAGATAAGCGTGAACATGCTACAAACAAGAAGTGTAAAAGACAATGAAGGACACTTCCCAAAGAGAGATTGCACGCATGGAGCCCAATAGAGGTGTCGGGCATACAGACGTCCATGCACAGGTCCAAGGCCTACAAGCTCAATTGACTCTCATGATGAAGCAATTTGAAATCCTTCGAGCTGATCACCAAGATGAGCGACCAGACTCCTTCTCTTGAAGCAAAACCTCATGGGGGCTAGCCCTGACGACCCTCACCATGGAACCCGCCAACTCTAGACAACTAGTTCGAAACCCGTGAGGGGAGGGACAAGGTGAGTTCTAACACATGACACTGCATGTTTGCACATGTGAGCATACAATGGCGAATGCAAGTGTCTGTTTGATCGCTTGTAGAAGGGGCTTTTATTGCTAAATTAAAGAGGCGGTACCCCTACCTGAGATGAGTATACCCCACCTAGATTCTAAGAAAGGGACGACCAACCTGATAAGCCATGAAGCGTCTTTCAAGTCATCGTTCGGTCTGCTCATATCGACGACCCCATAGTGTATCATCTCTTCTTAACCACCCTAAAGGAGTCGGCTCTTCGGTGGTTCAACGGTCTGCTAACTAAAACGGACTAAAATTACCATGAGTTTAAAAGACTATTCGTTTCACATTTCTCAAATGTACATAAGCTGATGAAAGGCTCGAACTCCTTGCTTGACCTCAAACAAGGAGAAAATTAGAGCTGCGAGCCTACATCATCTGTTTCTAGAACGACATACTGAAAATTAGATATCTGAAACCTGATATACATAGGAGAACTCTAAAATGAGTAGTATGATGCAAACGGTTCAGGTATGATCTAAACCTATTTAAACCTGTTATTTTTGCAGAGGAATTGAAGATAATGAATGAGCACATACTGGCTGAGGAAGACCTTCAAAGCTCCCCAAGAGGTAAGTTAGAGTCAATAGTGTCGCCTATATTGCATAAAAAAATGAATGCAAACATCACCGATCTCAACTTTTTCATTGTCATGATTAGCACCGCCTTCGCCTCCAGTATCCACTTTTCAGAAAATGCTGCCGCCGGTGAAGGGAATCTCCGACTGCCCAAAACACTCCCATCAGAGAGGACAAAGAAGAGGATCTTTCCATTTGAGAGAGCGCGAGCCATCAGATCAATCGAGATAAACAAGAATTAGTTAGAATCCATCCAGGAAATTAAAAAAGGTGAGAAGAAAAATAGATGGAGAGTTTTGATCCCCTCTTCTTGTATTATCTTAGTTTTATAGCAGCAAATTCCTAATTTCCTTCACCATCGTTATCATTGTGACCAAAGGAGTGGGGAGAAGTTCCTTTATAGACCACTTTCGCTTCCATTCGCTGTTGTTTGGGCCATTTGCATACTGACAGGTGGTATGCTAAATCGCTGTTGGGTAATCTTCATTTTGTAAGTAGCTGTTTATGTGCCCGCACGAGCAATGAAGATTCTCCGCGGCCACATAAATAATCATAAACTATTAAATTTATAAATTTTATATCTGACCCAAAAAAAATTCAATTTGTAATTTTATTTAATGATTTCAATAACGAAAATTGCCTAAAATAGATAAGACAGTTTTAGCATACCACGTGTCACTACACCACTGGAAATAGTCTATTTAAAGGAACTTCTCCCCGCTCCTTAAGCTGGTCAGAAAGAAATTATGAATTTGCTGCTATAAAAAGAAGACAAAACTCTCCATCTCCTTTATCTTCTCATCATCTTTAATTTCTGCAGTGAATTCGAGCTAATTCTTGTTCATCTCAATCAATATGATGGCCCGCGTCCTTTCGGCGTTCTGTAATGGCATTGTTTTGAGCAGCCGAAAATTGTCATCATCGACGGCATTTACCGGAAAGGAGATGCTGGAGGAGAAGGAAGCTCTAATCAAGGAAATGAAGAAATTGGGATCGGCAACATCGGATGCGGCGGCGGCCCCGACGCATTGGATCCCTGATCCTGTCACCGGCTATTACCGACCGGCGAACAGCCTCAATGAGATAGATCCAGCCGAGCTGCGCCAAAAGTTTCTCAACTACGAGAAAAAAGTTTAAGCGTTAGACAACGTTAAATGTATTTATAGTGGTTTTGTGATTCTTCATCTGTTGGCTGCATAACTTAATTGATTTTTGCAGTGCTAATAATCAAATATTTTTATAATTTTTTTAATGATTTTTTTTGTAGCAACTAATCCATATTTATGCATGGTAGGAAACTTCGGATCTGGTCACAGTCCGAATTCAATCAACCTGGCCAATTAATTATATATAATTCTCAATTATGTAAAATGCTTCTTTTTGAATTTATTTAGATTAAGGATAATTTATACCATGAAAAAAAAGAATGTTTTCAATATTGGAGTCCCTTTGTGCAGAAAAAAATTGCTTATGTTGTCCGGATGCAGAGTTTAGTGCATACACGGGCGGTGTTTTTCTGATCGTGTCAATGAGGGAGAAAAATAATGCCACAATCAAGTGTAACTCGGCCGTTGCCCAGATGGTGCTGTGTCCGGACAACAATTGAGGCAAAAATTGCTCCTTTGTGCAAAGATAAAGCAGATGAAAGGCTTAGGAAATGTTTGGTAGAACTTTTATTTTATTATTTTTTATATATATATTTTTAAATGCACATTAAATTCAATATGACTTTTCCATAAATTTGAAGAAAACACTACAATCCAAAAACTTGTTATTTGGATGCTTTTAGAAACATTTTTAAAAAGATATTTTAATTATTTTTTAATAAAAACACTGATTAAAAAATAATAGGAATTTCTGCCCAAAAACATAAAAACATAAGAATGCTAACTTGGCAATGTGGGATTAAACATAAGAGAATGAGAGGATTTCGGCATTTGGTGGAATCAAAGCTGCCCAGATGGCAGCGCATCTTCTCTTCGGGCAACTGGCCCGGGCGCATCTTCTTCAGAAAATAAAATTTTAATGCTATTTATCTAAAATAATAATGAAGTTAGAATGAATTACTCTTATTTGTCTTTTACTAGTACTTACAGCTACAGATCCACTAATCTCTCTCTTCCATGGATGAAGTCGAATCAAAACATAATCAGCTTATAATTTTATTAAAATCTTATTTAATTAGTACATCATGAACTTTTTAAAAAATTATGAAAATAGTCCCGATTAGTCCTCTCACTTTATGTAACAACATGAAATTTTCCTAAGAATAGAGAACATGTTTTGAATAATTAAATTAGTTACTACTGAAAATCTATAATTATGGGTTTAAATAATTACAAAAAATAACTAAATCTTAGAAAAAATATAGTTTCATCTCTGATGCTTTAATTTGCCCATGAGTAAGAGGCCAGATGGTCATTTAATTAAAAATGCAAGAGTTATGAGCTATAAATCCTAAGGAGCATAATTGTAATTTAAGATTTTACACTTTAACCTTAATTTAACAAACTTTTAGGTTAAAATAGAGGGAAAGGGTGTTAAAACTTGATGATTAAATCATTGAAATGATTGAAACATAAGGGGTAACTAAGGTAGTAACCCATTCATGGCAATTTCTAGAAAAATAGTAAAATGATATTTATCTGAATTGTTGGATATAAGAAGATGTAGGGAGCATGGATGATCAAATAGTGAGAGGTGTGGATTGAGAGGCTCATAATTTACTTATTTAACCCCCACTCAATGGTTAAGTAAAGTTCAATCCTTTTAATAAAGATCAAAGATATTTTATAAAACTTTTCAAAATCACAAGTTTACCCTTAAGTCTTAAGACTTGATAGTGAATTAGGTTTAACTTAATATCATTTTAGGAGTAGTTAAAGAAAGAAAACATAAACGATAGTGAAACATTTTAAAACACTACAAGTTCAAACCTAATTGAGGGGCAAGAGTGTAAGTCTCTCAACCCCCAATAGATGTACCCTTAGTGTTTTGTCCACATGACCCTTACTGTTATATCAAGGATTGAATAATGCCTCAACTCATAGATTAATAAAGTCATAAAACAATGAACACAGTTTACAACATGGAATATTCCTACTGCAAGTGGGTTGATTAGTTCAAGAACGTAGAAAGACCAAATGAACTGTGGTGTTCCAAGAGATTTTAAAGGTTGTTTAGGATTACATTCTGAATACCATTATAAGTTTTTAGATGTTCCATAGGACATGTGGGCATACTACGATTTGTTGGGAAAAATGATCCTAAAAAATATAACAATAACTGAAATCTAAAGAGAAAAATGAAATTCATAAGGATCCACCAATATATGATTTAGGCACCTTCAAATTAATGTATGTTAATAAGCAGTATCCTGCTACAACTTAACCTACAGCAATACCCAATGCTCAGGGGTATGAGCTTTGAATATGATGCTCAAACCCTTCTAGAAACTTGGGATATTTAAAATTTGACCACATATGGATCGTCGAGCTGGTGTATAAGTGAGTGGTGGCGGGGATATGGATGATGATGAAAAATACATCCAAGTATGTGGGATAGTAGGATATTATTGTATCTCCTAACCCGATAACTTCGTGAGGGCATAAGATTAACATTACTATTATCTAACATTTGGTAAAATGTTGTCCTTACTCTCATGAGTTGTTGGTGGTTCTAGTCTAATGGTGTGACTGACTCATGAACTGCTTGATTTACAAAAATATGTAACTTATAATACAACATATTTTCCTTTTTGCTTCAATTCCTAAAAATCAACAACCTGCAAGAAAACATAAAAATACCTTCTATTAAAGTACAATATAAAAAAAAATGAGTATAAAATATGGGTCTAAAAATGCACATATTTTTGGTGTATCATGAGCCATGTGTTCCATTCATAAGTTTTTGAATCTCTCGTTCTCTTTTCTTGCCTTAGCAAAGTACTTAATCAACAGTTTACCCTGAATCTCAAATTCCTCGTTTAATTGATTGACCGTCAATGGGGAGTCTGAGTTCACCAACAGATCATGAGCCTCTATCTCGTAAGCCCAACAAAGCTTGACGATCAACGCCTTGTACTCTACTTGGTTATTGGTAACCTTGAACTCTATAATGGCAGATTGATAAACATGCTATCCAGCTGGACTACTTAGAGCCAGTCCTAGCCCGACGGTCACATGCTTGGATGCCTCATCGACATGCAAGATCTAAGTGTCTGTATGTCGAGCAATTTGTGGTCGACACTAGTGACCACTCGAAGGTAACAACTCATCGACTGTTCTAGGTTCCCTCAGATGATGATTATGTCCTCATCTAGGTCGACACCACTGCTTGGTAGCTATTTATAAGTGACCGACCGAAGATCGCATTGTAAGTCGGTGAAGATTCTACCACCAGAAAGTTCTCCGTGTTATTGAACTAGTTTTCTTGCTCACCCTATGAGATAGTTAGCGCAACTACACCCAAGGCTTCTTTTCTTTTGCCATAGAAGCCGAACAATGGACTAGCCGGTGTTGCCAATCGATTGATTTTTTGTCCCATTTTGTCAAAGAATATTGACTGAACTTCCAGTGTCGACCAAAATGCTACCCATATGATAGTAGTTTAAGAGCATCGTGACAACGATTGCCTTGTTATATGGGTTTCCTTTTGGTGGGAGATCTGCATCTGTAAAAATAATTGGATGGTGAGTACGAGTGTAAGTGGTTACAAAACATACCTCTTCCGAAGCTAGACGATCGGGGTAACCCTCCACCTCCACCTAAGGTAGTTGGAATGATTCCACCTAGGCAGATTTTGTTTGCTCGAATAGGCCCATATGTGGGCTCCTTTGGTTGGTCCTTCCTCTGTTGTTGTGTGTGTGCTCCAATAGCTTTGAGCACCTTTAGCTTTCCGACCCTAATTAGTTCCTCCATCAAGTTTTTGAGATGACGACACTCCTTAATATTGTGCCCAAGGTTTCAGTGATAGGAGCAGTATTTATTCAGATCAAGCTCCTTGATTGTTGAGCCATCGTCCTTAGTCTTCTGATCGCTATGTGATTCATGCTGACAATTTTAGAGCATATAGTCAGAGAACGTTCACTTTCTATAAATCAATACACACCTCAAGATGCTTAACAATTTATTTAAATCATTTTCTAAAGCTCAATATATTGTTGGCTCCATGCCCAAAAATGCTCTTAGACTATATAAAAATTGGGGGGCCTTCATAAATTTTTCCATTTAAGACACACTTAAATCATTTTCAATCTCAAACTAAAGTACTAGATGTCCATAAGCGATGAGCACTCGAGCGAAGTTTGAATACGGGCCTATATGGGGCAGCTGTAGCTTATCCAACTTATCCAAATTTAGCAGTTTATCCTGATAAATTGGCTGGTTGTTTGGTTTGTGTGTTTGGAAAACAACGATTTTGAATAAATGATCATTCTGCTCATGTTCTGGATAAGCTGTTTAGTTGTTTGATTTGTGGTTATGGAAAACAGCTGATTTACAGCTTTTTCAAGATAAATGATCAATCCGACACGCAGCAGTTGTGCTGTTAATTTCAAAACCGCACTGGCTACACATTAATTATTTCAAAACCAATAAAACTCTTTCATACCAGTACAAAAAAGGATATACAACTCAGTTAATAGTGAGTATCAGGAAACAAAAAAAAAAGAAATAAATAACATGTTTAAAGTACAAGCAAAATAATGACAATATTCATTTTAAAATGTAGATGCATGCCACGAGGGACGTTGTCCGGTTGGGACATCGTAGAACTCCGAGCAACATTGTATGGTTGGTTTGTCTGTTGACCTCACTTTTGGTTAAGGTCTAGAAAAATTTATCCTGATAAATTGGTTGGTTGTTTGGTTTGTGTGTTTGGAAAACAACGATTTTGAATAAATGATCATTCTGCTCATGTTCTGGATAAGCTGTTTAGTTGTTTGATTTGTGGTTATGGAAAACAGCTGATTTACAGCTTTTTCAAGATAAATGATCAATCCGACACGCAGCAGTTGTGCTGTTTATTTCAAAACCGCACTGGCTACACATTAATTATTTCAAAACCAATAAAACTCTTTCATACCAGTACAAAAAAGGATATACAACTCAGTTAATAGTGAGTATCAGGAAACAAAAAAAAAAGAAATAAATAACATGTTTAAAGTACAAGCAAAATAATGACAATATTCATTTTAAAATGTAGATGCATGCCACGAGGGACGTTGTCCGGTTGGGACATCGTAGAACTCCGAGCAACATTGTATGGTTGGTTTGTCTGTTGACCTCACTTTTGGTTAAGGTCTAGAAAAACTTCTTTAGTAGCCTAGGTCTA